GATATCTGCTACCCTGCTATATATATGCCATCTACAAAGATCTTCAGGAAAGTATGAGGTGTCTCCATCCATGTACCCAGGGAACATTTTATGTACTTCTTGATTTAGACTTGATGTTGGGTTTCCATCTCTGGAAGGAATTTTTACCCCATGGTCAGGCTGGTATGGACTCTGAGGGTTTTGCCTTCCTCTGTAGTGGGGGGGTTGGGGGGAGGTAGTCCTCTTCCTGGGATCTCTTGAGCAAATAATAACAAGCTTTATAGCAGCAGGACATTGGCTGCTGTGGCCCCACTTCTTTATCTGTGGCAGGTTGAGGTGTTATGTTTTGTGTTGTATCAGATTTGACTGAGTAGTTATCAGAGAGATTAGACAATGGTTTCTTGGCGGGGCTGGGCTCAGGAAGGGCGGCGGCAGTGACACTGGGAAGGGGGCTACAGAGGGGGCTGCATCCACCCCAAATTTCGACGTAACTGCCCTGTAGCCCTGTCCCCAGTGCTGCCGCCGCCCACCTGGATCAGCCCCAGTTCTTCCTGGAGCATGGGGGGAGACAGTTGTTGAGCCACAGCTGCAGCTCACCCACCCCGCCCCACGCAGATCCAGGGGCACAACCACCCTGCCCTCCCAGGGTGCACGCAGCGGTGAGATCCACGCCCCCAACAACCTGCAGCTCTGGCCCGCGCCCACCCCACTCTGGCTGGGCAGTGCCTGCCCCCTTCCTCCCCACAGGGGGTGTTGATCTGCCCCCACCACACCCCTTCCCTCCCCCTCCCCTTCCACTACACCAGACTTATGAGCTGCATGCAGCCGTATCAGAAATTGGATTGGTATCAGTTGTTTTGACTCCTTAAATATTGACTATCGGTATCAGCCCCCAAAATCTATCAGTGTACCCCTAGTGCTTTCCAGTCCACTGATGTCGCATTTGGCAATTTTCCTTCTCCAGCTTCATTCTCTTTTCTCCAGATGGTGCTTTTACCACACCAGGTGCTTGCCATCCCGGTTGTCCTTCCTGAATGGTACCATGTCTGTTCCCTTGGTAGCTGTGAATGCTATCATGGTTTTCTTCATACTCCTCAGCTCTGTCCCATTGTTCAATATCACTTTGCTTCTCTCCACTTGCAATTATGTCCATTCCTTTCCTGGGTCCATGATTCTGGAGTTAGGGTTACCATGTGTCCATGTTTCCCGGACATGTCCTCTTTTTGAGTCCTGTCACCATCCAGGTGGGTTTTTCAAATCTGAGCAAATGTCCAGGTTTTTGCTTTGCTCCACTGGTGGGAGCAAGGGGAGGAGTGATTGTATGCAGGGAGCTTCAGGCAGGTAAGTGTGTCTGCACTCACCCCAGGAGCTGCAGGCAGGTAAGTCTGGGTTGGAGGGGGGTGCTGGGGCTAGGGCTGTGGAAGGGAAGTGGTGGCAGGAGAGTTGCCTGCTTCCTCCAGCAGGGGAAGGGGGCGGGGCTCCTTTGGAGGTCTGTGGCTGAGCCACCAGCACAGGGGCTGGTGCCCATGCTTATAGGGGTGGAGTGGCCAGGAGATGTTGTGGGACGGGAGGGTGTGGGGTGGGCCATGACCAGGCCTCCTTGCATGGCATGGCAGCCCCAGCCCAGGGGGGCGGTATGCCACAGTCCTCCCTTTCTCTTCCCTCTATCCCACACCAGGGCCAGACTTGCTCCAAGCCACTGTGATCCGGCCTGGTTGGGACGGGGGCAGCTGAGGCCCCTCCAGCAGGGCTGGGGAGAGCAGGGGGCTGTGGGTTGGGAGTGAGGGGCACTGGCAGGGCTGGGGTCTGTGGGTCAGGACTGAGGGACAGCATCAGGGCTGGGTGGGCCTGTGGCTTGGGAGTGAGGGGCAACAGAATGGGCAGTCCCTTGCCATATCATTGCCCCCGCCCCCAGTCATATTCCACCCCTTCACCCCCCCGCTGAAAATATGGTAACCCTGTAAGCAAGATTTACCAATCTTTCTTATATCTGGTTACTGACTTCCAAATGTCTCCCTTTTCCACTGCTGCTCAGCCTGTGCTTACCATCCCATTGACATACTGCCTCTTTCAGCTATTCTTTGCTATGATTTTATACTGTAATTGCAATTTTGTTCCCTGGCTTGGTTTGCTCTAGGAGCTGCTAGTCCTTACAATTTTAATTCTTATTTTTTTTCTCCTCTTCTAAGTCTTATGCTAGAAAGAAAGTCACCAACACGTTTTTTCTTTCATTCTCCCTTCCCCAGCATCAAAGTATGTGAATGTCTCTACAGCTTTATGGAGATGTAGGTTGTAGCTGTGTTCATCTAAGCACATAGGCAGACAAGGTTCTTTGGGTAAATGTAATATCTTTTATTAGACCAACTCAGATAGTTGGACATTTTTTCTTAGCAAGCTTTTGGGTTTAAAAACCCTTCATTAAGCTGCAGAAGCATCACACACCAACTGCAGATGCTTCCTCAGCCAGGAGTTGAGACCTTCTCTGCTAACGTGGTTTGTTTGAAGAGTAAGAGACAAGCTAACTCTGATTTGTTACCTATATTTTTTACCTAGTACACAGAACATCCTACACTAACTAATAATGTCTATTTAAAAATAGGACTAGATTAAATACTACAATAGCTGAAGCTTTCATCAAGCATTTCAATCCCAAATATCTGTGCAAGCCTTTGGCTCTTATCCAGTCAAAGGAAAACTTTCTTTAAAGTATCAGGGCTAAGAGTAGAAATTAATTGTATAAGGAATGTTCCAGTTCATCACTGCAATGATCTATACAGGTGCTGTCCAAATTCTTTAGGGCATACTATTGAAAGGAAGTCTGCCTCTAATTACACCTTAGTGCCCTAACTGAATCCAATTTTCTAGGGTTTTTTGCTTTCTTCTTTTTCTTACTCCTTGATTAGCACACTCTTTAAAAAATACTTCAAGACTTTAGTTTTTTCTGTAAGTTTAGAGCCAAAATTAGTGGGTGATCCTTATAACAGTGTGTTATCAAATTTCACTCCAGTAGTCAAATGTTAAAGGTACAATAAATGGGGTAGAAACAGTATTGTATTTTCTGTGAAAGCGTGATGACATTTGTGGGTTTGTATGCACAGAATGAATTAAACCAATTTACTGCCCCAGTATGAACTAGAAATATGCCAGTAAACTACACTTCACTTGTTGTGCTGTTGACTATCCAATTCTTTTGTTGTTTTAAATTTTGTATTGCAGTTGTTCCCAGAGGCCAAAATGGGGCTCTCATTATTCTAAGCATTGTACAGATACATACAGGGGCACAGTCCCTGCCCTCAGGAACTGAGAGTCTAACAGGCTAATTCACTGAACTAATTATATCGGAGTGATTTCATCAGATTTGTACGTAGGATGTAAACCTTGCATATCAAATTAGGGCATTGATTGTGTGTAGCCTGATATTCTGTTTTCAGCCAGGACTTTTCAGGAAAGAAGAAAAGCCATAATGCATTTAATAAATTCTATGGTGACCTTAGGTAAGGGAAAGAGAAAAGAGGCTTTTTTTGTCTCTTCAAATCTTGAAGGACAAAATTTGCTTTGTCTTATAATAATGAAACAATATAATTGGACTACAGAGGATCAACAGCAAATGTATTGTGGTGTTATAACTGGACCTGAATCTTTTTCTCATCAGTTTGCTTCCAAAGGGCAGTTCTTCTGATTTATACTGGGGAGAGGAGAATCAAGATAGTTGTACTTAACTCCCAGGGTTTAGCAATACCAGTTGATACAAGTTTTGAAGTTTGAAAACGTTCTGTTCCCTCTTTTTATTTATATGTACTTAAGCATTTCCTGGCTCTAATGGGGATGTTCTGGGAAAGAAGCAGAAATATCCAAATACAATGAGACTGATTTGACTTTATTACCATTCCAAATGGGAGCAGAGAGCCAGCTGTGAGAGAACTTTTCTGTAAGATTTCCAGATTGAGTTTTCAGACATGGGAGGTTCAGATAAACATCTGATCTTTGGCATTTATCCAAACTGAATTTCTAGTCCTGTGGAGAACTCTTCCCCCTTTAAAAACAAACCAGTTGCAGACCTGAATAACAGCATAACTTGCTTTTAATAGTGCAGTGGAGTTGGTGGTCTCAGTCAAGGGTAAAATTTTCACAAGTGCCTAAGTCCCAGTGACTTTTGATGGCTTGAAATACATGTACATTTTGATAGATTAGGCATGTTTGCAGATTTCATGCTTGGTTTCCCATGTATGTTTTGCTTCCATTGCCAAACCACAACCTGGCATCACTCAGCACTGGAGACATGAAGAAGCTTTGTACTAGGTGTGTATAGCAGTATGAGAATGCGATGGAGCCCTTGTCTACTTCAAAAATATGCCTCAATTCTTCCCACCTGAGTGGGGTTACAGGCCCCTTGGAGGACAGGTTTAGGATTAAAAATGACCTTGATAAATTGGAAAACTGGTCTGCAATAAATGGGAAGCAGTTCAGTAAGAATAAGTGTAGTAAGCAAAATATTATACTTGGGAAGGAACAATCCAATGCACAAATGCAAAATGAACAATGACTACAGTAAAAGCTGTGTTAACTGGCATTTCACTAACTGGAATACTCTATTAACCAGAATTTCCAATATCTCCCAATACAAATCCTCACTTTAGCAACCAGAATCTTTGCCGAGTCTATCTGGCATTCATATCAAGTATTTCTGTTGTTTACATTAGTTAGTGATGCTGCCAATAGAGGAGCTGCCGGGAGTCTGCAGGGGGAGGAGAAAGGGATCTGCATGGGGCAGGGTGGGCTGCCACTGTGGCGTGGGGTTGGTATAACTCTCAGATAACCAGAATTTTTAGATAACCGGCACCCCACTTATGTCAAAGCTTTTACTGTATATAGGCTGCTGTACTGCAGTAAAGGACCTGGGGTTTATAGTGCACTGCAAGCTGAATATAACTCAGCAATGTAATGTCGTTGTAAAAAATGTTAACAGCATACTGGTATGTATTAGCAG